ATATTTGTTGTTATAAATATAATGTTTAAATAGCTATAGCTAAAATAAATGTGAGTATAATCACATGTTTAAATGTCGATTCTACAAAAACAAAAATACTTAAGTCTACAATATATTCTGTAAATAATATGGAAGAATTCTCATGAATGCAAATATTCCCATAGTTTCATTTATATTGCCACATAATTAGGGTTTTCTAGACCAGAAATGCGGAAAATGAAACCCACAAGGTCAACTTGGTTTGATATAAAAGAAATAGAGGTATTTTCTGTCAAATATGCATTTAATGTAGCCTACGCATTTGTTTTGTAAAATGTAGCATATGCTCTTGTTTTTGTGAAACTATGTGTCGTTCAGTAAAAATATAGCCAATGCATTTGTCAATGAAAGTTCGTTTTAGTGGGAATATCCATTATGGTCGAATAATCTTTCCAAAACAGTGTAGCTAAATACTGAAGCAAATACAAATCCGAAAATACAATTCTGAATAAAATATCTTTGTAATCAAATAAAATATATTTAATCAAGGAAAATAACTATGCCAGTATAGTGTACATTATATCCAATTGTAATAGTATAATTGGATATAATGTTATTCATATGGTCTGAATGTATATGTTAGCAGCATGTTAATTTAGACCTCGGTAATTTATGTGTCCAGTCTGCATATGGAATAATAAAATAATGTTGAGCTGTCATATCGACGGAAATGAGTGGAGTGGAGCAGAGCGGAGTGGAGCTAAGTGGCATATTGCCATATTGATAGCCATCACTTAAAAACTAATAGAAAATAAAACAAAGTGACCGGTGTCAAAAAGGGACATGTTTTGATGTTGAACATGAACCATTAAAATAGTTTTTTCCTCCATTGAAAATTGAGCTTTTTTGGTTCTCAACGCTCAAAGGCGAGATATCCAATCTAAACTGAGTCTTTATTGAAGGCATTCCTCCCCGCGAGCAACGGACCATACTGTCATTTGATCTGATAACGGGTAGAATATGACAGCTGCATTTCCCGCTACCATCCTTCATTTACATTACATTTACACCAATAAACGATGATGAAGTGCTGTTTATAATATTTCCCCTGGGTTGTGTACATTGCGCCAGGAGTGAAAGAAAAGCCGCGGGACTGTCCTCGCGCTTGTTTATTTATAGGCTTGCTCCATATGTCTTCACATGCACGGGCCCTGACGGACATTCCCCGCATGACCACGCACTAATTTAGACGCCTGAACAGCACGAAGGAACAAGCGGTAAACTGGACGCTTCCTGGTAGGTATACCTTACAGTGTTCCAGTCATAAAACACATCAGAGCGCTATTCAACACTGAGCACCGTTAACGCACAGGTAAGTGGTAAAATGCCATGTATTTATATAGGCTATAGGCCTATTATTGTTTTCTATAGGCTATATTATTATTATTATATTATGAATAATATGCATATCAATTACATTCATCTATCCTAAATAATCCTTTAATTGATAAATAAGAGGTAGTTTTTGTTATAATAGCCTACAAAATGCATTGATGTAAATCATTGTATAGTGCACTATGGTCTCCATACAGCCATATCCAGACGGTTCCTTTCTGGAAGAGGGATATTCAGTCATATAAAGTCAATAGTCCAGACCAGGACCATACCGGATTGTTGGGACTGTTCCTCAATAGTCCAATAAGTGCACCGCCCTCAATCACAAGGCACTACAGGTTGGTGCAGATGGCCCAGGACATCACTGGGGCTGAGCTCCCTACCATCCAGGACCTCTATACCAGGCGGTGTCAGAGGAAGGCCTGGAAAATGATCAAAGACCCCCGCCACCCAAGTCATAGAATGTTCACTTTGCTACCGCACGGCAAGCGGTACCGCAGCACCAAGTCTGGGACCAACAGTACCCTGAACAGCTTCTACCCCGAAGCCATTAGACTGCTGAACAGCTTCTACCCCGAAGCCATTAGACTGCTGAACAGCTTCTACCCCGAAGCCATTAGACTGCTGAACAGCTTCTACCCCGAAGCCATTAGACTGCTGAACAGCTTCTACCCCGAAGCCATTAGACTGCTGAACAGCTTCTACCCCGAAGCCATTAGACTGCTGAACAGCTTCTACCCCGAAGCCATTAGACTGCTGAACAGCTTCTACCCCGAAGCCATTAGACTGCTGAACAGCTTCTACCCCGAAGCCATTAGACTGCTGAACAGTTCATCAAATGGCTACTCAAGTAAAAGTGAAAGTCACCCAGTAAAATACTACTTGAGTAAAGTCTAAAAGTATCTGTTTTTAAATGTACTTAAGTACAGTGGTGGAAAAAGTACTACATTGTCATACTTGAGTAAAAGTAAAAAGTAAATGCTATACATCAAATTCCTTATATTAAGCAAACTAGACAGCACAATCTTTTTTGTATTTTTTATTGACAGCCACTCGAACACTCAGACATAATTTACAAATGCAGTATTTGTGTTTAGTGAGTCCGCCAGATCAGAGGCAGCAGGGATGGCAAAGCATTATATTGATCGGTGTGTTTAGTGAGTCCGCCAGATCAGAGGCAGTAGGGATGGCAAAGCATTATATTGATCGGTGTGTTTAGTGAGTCCGCCAGATCAGAGGCAGTAGGGATGGCAAAGCATTATATTGATCGGTGTGTTTAGTGAGTCCGCCAGATCAGAGGCAGTAGGGATGGCAAAGCATTATATTGATCGGTGTGTTTAGTGAGTCCGCCAGATCAGAGGCAGCAGGGATGGCAAAGCATTATATTGATCGGTGTTTGAATTTGCAACTAGCTCTCACAGTCTCTCGTCAGAATTAGATGTTCATCCAAATTTCAAAGTGGTTAAGGTTAAGTTTAGGCATTAACTCCGAATGGTTAAGGTAAGGGTTAAGGTATGGGATAGGCTTAAAACAAAATTCTCAAAGACAACTTTCTATAGCTGGATTTTAACTTGCAACCTTTGGAATCAGATGTTAAGCCCATCCACCATCCCGATCCACAATGCCTAGCAAAACTGAAACCTACTTGAAGGTAACAGCGCTCTCTTTTGCCCCTATTGGCTGGTTTCCACTTCATCTCCCGACTTCCTCAGACATGGATGGACGTCAAATACTGACTTGTATCATGGCTGACCTGGCTGGAATTTGACAATATTGTTGTCCTGCCTGAGCATTCCAAATGTAACTAATACTTTTTGGTGTCAGGGAAAAGGTATGGGAGTTAAAAGTACATATTTTCTTTAGGAATGTGGTGAAGTAAAAGTAAACGTTGTCAAAAATAGAAATACCCCAAAAAACTACTTAAGTATTACATCACAGTATTTTTACTTCGTTACTTTACACCACTGCATATTACCTCAACTGCCTTGTACCCCCGCACATTGACTCAGTACCGGTACTCCTTGTATATAGCCTCATTATTGTTATTTTATTGTGTTACTATTTTTTTATTTTGCTAATATTCTTACTTTTTAAAGGTAGACTCAGCAATATGATGTATATGCAGAAAGTAAACAGCATAGTGGGTCAATTTCCAATGAAAGCGTCGAAGCGCCAGGCTCAGCTTCTCCACTGATAAAAGCGTTGAAGCGCCAGGCTCAGCTTCTCCACTGATAAAAGCGTGGAAGCGCCAGGCTCAGCTTCTCCACTGATAAAAGCGTTTGAAGCGCCAGGCTCAGCTTCTCCACTGATAAAAGCGTGGAAGCACCAGGCTCAGCTTCTCCACTGATAAAAGCGTGGAAGCGCCAGGCTCAGCTTCTCCACTGATAAAAGCGTTGAAGCGCCAGGCTCAGCTTCTCCACTGATAAAAGCGTGGAAGCGCCAGGCTCAGCTTCTCCACTGATAAAAGCGTTGAAGCGCCAGGCTCAGCTTCTCCACTGATAAAAGCGTGGAAGCGCCAGGCTCAGCTTCTCCACTGATAAAAGCGTTGAAGCGCCAGGCTCAGCTTCTCCACTGATAAAAGCGTGGAAGCGCCAGGCTCAGCTTCTCCACTGATAAAAGCGTGGAAGCGCCAGGCTCAGCTTCTCCACTGATAAAAGCGTTGAAGCGCCAGGCTCAGCTTCTCCACTGATAAAAGCGTGGAAGCGCCAGGCTCAGCTTCTCCACTGATAAAAGCGTGGAAGCGCCAGGCTCAGCTTCTCCACTGATAAAAGCGTTGAAGCGCCAGGCTCAGCTTCTCCACTGATAAAAGCGTGGAAGCGCCAGGCTCAGCTTCTCCACTGATAAAAGCGTTGAAGCGCCAGGCTCAGCTTCTCCACTGATAAAAGCGTGGAAGCGCCAGGCTCAGCTTCTCCACTGTTTTGGTCAAGTGGCTGCTGGAAGTGACGCCACCCTGTGCACATGCGTGCTGCTAAAAGCAACGTAATTTCTGCTGAGTCTACTTTAACTCTGCAGTGTTGGGAAAGGGCTCATAAGTAAGAATGTCATGGTAAAGTCTACACCTGTTGTATTAAGTACATGTGACAAATACGTTTATATTTAATTTGATTTGGTTTCTCTCTAGAAGAGGGATATTAAGTTGTTATAATACTGTCCGGTGGTCATTGTGTCTGTCTGCCCCAGGGGGGCTCCCGTGCGGGGAGAGGGGGTTGTAACGGACAAACATGGAGAGCATTTTGGGCGGTGGTTTGAGAATACGCGCTTTGCACTGGGGCCATGATTCATTCACGAGCCCCCTTCACCATTTACCACATAAAGTGGTACCGGACAGCTCGAGGAGGTGGGACTTCGGTGAGATCACGGCTCAATTGGCCTGGAGGCAGAGTGATTGACAGCTGACTGCCCAGCCCTCCAGCACCCCTCAGATTATTTACACTTTCTAAAACCGGGGCCACAGCGGTCCGCATGCGCTCAGCTCACACACATCGGAAGGTCTATTTCACTTGCAGCTAACGTCTCATAGCTGCGTCCAGTTGGAGAGAGAGAGAGAGAGAGAGAGAGAGAGAGAGAGAGAGAGAGAGAGAGAGAGAGGGGGGGGAGAGTGAAAGAGAGAGAGAGGGAGAGTGAGAGAGAGAGGGAGAGAGAGCGAGAGGAAGAGTGAGAGAGTGTGTATTGGGCCACTAGGACGGAATGTGCGACAGTCCTGAACGGGCCGTAGCTAACGGAGAGAGAAGCGTCCTAAAGACACATAGAATCGAACAGCAGCCCCGGGACGAGGCTATTACCGTGGAGGCCCTTGGGGTGAACATTTCACTTCACTTCTGTTTAGAGCGAATTTGTCCTTCTTTCCTCTCCTGCGTCTGGTCGGTCGGACGGTTGGTGGAATGGCAGAGAAGCGACGCTCCCCGTGCACTCTGAGCGTCAAGGCGCACGCGTTCTCGGTGGAAGCTCTGATCGGCTCGGAGAAGAGACGGAAGCTCGGGGAGGACGACACTGGGGTGTGCTTTCTCGAGGAGGTCACCGAGGTGTTGGAGCTGCCCAGTAACGGAGGGGAGAGTAAGGAGAGGGCGTGCAACCACGCAAGCTACCGGGGAAGCGAGATAGAGTGCGCTAGTGACGGCTCGCGTAAGTAAAGACTGTTACCGTGAACTGGTGACACCGAAGACGACTTAAAATACACTCACCACCACTCCCGAGAAAAACTCACACTAAACTGAACACTGCGTAATTACATATTATGAGGCTACAACTATTCTAACAGCGACTCATTCTCAGGCGAAACTGATGAAGGCCTATCCTATAACTGGCCCGATAAACATCATCTAATCTATATTTTCTTGTTGACCTGTTTTTATTGCTCGTTGTTGTTGTTGTTGGTTGTTTTATTACAACAAGACAATGATTTTATGAACCGAATGATTGACATTAACTAAATTACCACTAGAGTGAAATAAAATGAAATCGATTACCTGCAACAACCAAGTAGGCTATAAAATATCCTATTAATAACAACAGTAAATAATAATTCTGTTATACATTTAGTCTAAACTATTTACAGAAGCCAAAACATCTGCACAGAGTTTGGGCCTAATATATTTATCTGGGTTCAGAAGCACAGAGCATTTGAAACATTTATTAAAATGCATCTGATTTAAACATATTTATCTGGGTTCAGAAGCACAGAGCATTTGAAACATTTATTAAAATGCATCTGATTTAAACATTAATGAGGGGCTGATATGTTTGCCGCTCTATTGTAGAGATATTATATAATATCCGGTTATTGGTCGAGTAAATAGAACCGCTGTGCGCGTGACTTAATCAGCCGCTTTATGAGTCTTGTTACAATTATAAACACCCCAATTAGCTATTACCAGCAGGAAGAAGGCCTCCGAAGAGAGACGTTATATGAACGGGTTTAGACGCGCGTTAAAAACACAGAAACACAACAAACTGTTATATTGTAAAATAATACAAAATATTAGTAAAACTATTCCATATCAGCCTAGCTGTATCTGTCAGAAAATAGTGTTTTTGCTTCAGTATCGAATCGAGAGTGGTTTATGGGTGATCATTTGGGCCATTTCCATGGATGTTCTCCTCATGGATGGCTAGGCCTGGGTGTTGCACTGGGCTGACTGTGATTCTATGGTCTTTATATATTACTGTATTCTACATTCATATATTATTCATTTATATTTAACCTTTATTTATCCAGGGAGTCCCATTGTCAGACCTCTTTTAACAGGCGGGGAGACCTGTCGATGACACTAACGTTTTAATATGCCTATTCATAGAATTTACTAGAATAAAATAGAATAGAATATAACTTAATTGTCAATCCAAGGATGATAGATGATAGCATAACAGGAGAGATAATATGGTCCTAATATAATTTATGACCGTAGCGCTATAGTTTATTACATTTAAGCCTGTCTGGTTGTGGGCTGACCAATATAGAACATATATTGTTATATTGTCTGCGGCCTGAACACCCATTTTGACAGCAACACAAATGGTCCAGTCTAGTCTGGTCCAGTCTAGTCTGGTCAGGTCTGGTCTAGTCAGGTCTGGTCCAGTCTGGTCTGGTCAGGTCTGGTCCAGTCTGGTCTAGTCTGGTCAGGTCTGGTCAGGTCTGGTCCAGTCTAGTCTGGTCTGGTCTGGTCTAGTCTGGTCAGGTCTGGTCCAGTCTATTCTGGTCTAGTCTGGTCTGGTCCAGTCTAGTCTGGTCAGGTCTGGTCCAGTCTAGTCTGGTCTAGTCTGGTCTGGTCCAGTCTAATCTGGTCAGGCCTTGTGTCTCTAGAGGAGCGGAACAGACAGGATCAGACAGGAACAGACACGGCCCGTTTGGCGACGAAATACTTAAAGATCCATGATTATTATAACTGATGGGTCAATAACACACACACACACACACACCTATACTTTAGGCCTCAAATCAAATCACATTTTATTGGTCACATACACGTGTTTAGCAGATGTTATAGCGGGTGTAGCGAAATGCTTGTGCTTCTAGCTCCGACAGTGCAGTAATATCTAACAAGTAATATCTAACAATTTCACAACATATACCCAATACACACAAATCTAGGTAAGGTATGAATTAAGAATACATATATGGACGAGCGATGTCAGAGCGGCATGGACTAAGATACAGTAGAATAGTACAGAATAGAGTATATACACATGAGATGAATAGTGCAAGATATGTAAACATTATTAAAGTGGCTAGTGTTCCATTTCTTAAAGTGGCCAGTGATTTCTAGTCTGTCTATAGTCAGCAGCCTCTAATGTGTTGGTGATGGCAGTCTCTACTATGATACGAGCCTATACCAATTTACTACTACATTAAAACAAGATTGTCTTGCTCGTGACTGACCCGGACTGTCTTTCGGTAGTGGAGAGCTGTGACGTGCTGTTGGAAAGCCCCCACCCAGAGGCCCAGGCCCAGCGCGCGCCACCGGTAACGGTAACGGTTCCCGGAGAGGAGATGCGCGTGGACTTGCAGGGCTCCGACCTGTGGAAACGGTTTCACGAGATCGGTACAGAGATGATAATCACGAAGGCCGGCAGGTGAGGGAAACAACACTTTAACACACATCACAGGCTAAAGAAACACTAAATGAAGAAGAGAGGACAAAGAAGGGGAAAGAATAACTCGCCTTTTGTCTTGAAGTTTAAAGATTGTGCAGATATTTTAGAAGATCTTTCTGCTGTGACGGAAAAGGGTTATTATTTTAATTTAAAAATGTGTTAAATTAACCGGTCCTTCAATGTCGCAGTTATGACACAAGGATTATTAAGTGTCTTAACAGAAACTAAAAGCAGATTTACCGTCTAATCACAATTTGTTTGATTTAACCGGATTGATCAGAAACAAAAACAAAAAAGTTTAATGAAAAGGGAAATACTGTGAACATCATTTTAATAAAACGTTTTTAAATAAAACTAAATTACACAAAACCACCTTTGACTAAATATAATAATAATAATAACAACAACAATAAGAATGTTTTATAAGAATGTTATAAGCTACTATTGCAATGTTGTTTAAAGGATAATTTAGCTAATTCTGTCGTAGCCTATAGGTCTACCTGTCATGCATAATTTGTATTTTCTTATAGGCTTAGGCCAAGCATAATCATATATTAGGCTAAAGCGCTGATATTTATATAAATGTGTGAGAAATGTATATTTCATGGCACGAGAAAAAAGAATCTGAACAATTGTAAAAACGACCAACTGACTATGTTGCGACTCTTTACACAGCCAGTCGAAGATAATCGAAATATTTAGTGGGCTACATATTTGATGTATTAATGTGACACTATTTGATGTCTGACTTGAATGTCTCTCTCCTCCCGGTGCAGGCGGATGTTCCCCGCTATGCGCGTGAAGATCTCGGGACTGGACCCCCACCAGCAGTACTACATCACCATGGACATCATCCCCGTGGACAACAAACGATACAGGTTAGGAATATAACACTAAAAATAACTATTATATAGGCCTAAACTATACAACTGATATAGTCCAAACAACCCCGTAGACAACAAATGATAAGCTGCTGCAGGTCAGGAATTAGCCTATGCAAAATCACTTTCTTATAGCCTATACTATTGCAGGCATTTCTGTAAACGTTTACATATAGATTAACGGAGCTAGGCGTCTTGGTTTCTTTGATATTATAGCATAAAAACCTCGAGAGGTTTAAAGTTGTAATCGTTTGTGTCGGTGAACTGGAACAAAGCGGCACAAATGGCGGTTGGGAACCGTCTGTCTGTCAGTCAGCGATGGTTGTGTCCTTGTTCCGTTTGGGAAGAAACGCCTTTTGGACAGCTAACCTCCAGCACTGACGGTCAAATAACAAATGTTGCAATAACAGGAACACAAAACACACCTTTGATGTTATTTTCTCTCTTTGTCTGTCTGTCTGTCTGTGTGTGTGTGTGTGTGTGTGTGTGTGTGTGTGTGTGTGTGTGTGTGTCTGTCTGTGTGTGTGTGTGTGTGTGTGTGTGTGTGTGCAGGTACGTGTACCACAGCTCCAAGTGGATGGTTGCGGGAAACGCGGACTCCCCGGTGCCGCCGCGTGTGTACATCCACCCGGACTCGCCAGCTTCCGGTGAAACGTGGATGCGTCAGGTGATCAGCTTCGACAAACTCAAACTGACCAATAACGAGCTGGATGACCAGGGACATGTAGGTTACCTAGACAACACTACCTATTTATTATAGATTTTTATGTATACAACACTAAACATTATAATGACTGCATTATTACTTGGCCTAAATCTACTTAATTTGATGGATGGATGGATGGGTAGATATATTGATTGACTGATTGATTGATTTATGAGCTGGAAAATCTTGATCAGAATGCTATTTGTATGAAGTGACTTTAAACTGGAAAAACTTGAGGGAGGGGATTTCAAAAGAATAAATATGAAATTGTGCTTGAAATATAATGTTTTATCAAATGTTCACTTTTTGATATACAGTAGATGTTGTGGTTGATAAAAGGACAGATATTGTAAATATTCTGAATGAAAGGATTCTGTTTATTGAGGTCATACGTGGGTTGTTTTCAGAGGAAGGAAATAGATCACATTTTCCCCAGAAGTTTAGTTAAGTTAATTGGAGTATTTAAAAAATCATTGTCAACAGTGAGCTGTAAGCAGACTGAAACCCTTAGGCTAGACAAAACGGTTTGGCCGTTCAAGAGGAACTGTGTGTGTGTTTCTGTGTGTGTGTGTGTTTCTGTGTGTGTGTGTGTTTCTGTGTGTGTGTGTGTTTCTGTGTGTGTGTGTGTTTCTGTGTGTGTGTGTGTTTCTGTGTGTGTGTGTGTTTCTGTGTGTGTGTGTGTTTCTGTGTGTGTGTGTGTTTCTGTGTGTGTGTGTGTTTCTGTGTGTGTGTGTGTTTCTGTGTGTGTGTGTGTTTCTGTGTGTGTGTGTGTTTCTGTGTGTGTGTGTGTTTCTGTGTGTGTGTGTGTTTCTGTGTGTGTGTGTGTTTCTGTGTGTGTACATGCGTGCCTATGTGAGTGTGTGTGTGTGCAAGTATTTGTCTATGTTTTATGATGTGAGAGAAGAGCAGGTAATTCCATTGATGTGTAATTGTGTAGTTCTTCTGCTGTATAATAATGCCCTAACCGTGTTGTATGTGTGTGTGTGCTGTGTGTGTGTGTGTGTGTGCTGTGTGCTGTGTGTGTGTGCTGTGTGTGTGTGTGTGTGCTGTGTGTGTGTGTATGTGCTGTGTGTGTGTGGGTGTGTGTGTGTGTGTGTGGGTGTGTGTGTGTGTGTGTGTGTGCTGTGTGTGTGTGTGTGTGTGTGTGTGTGTGTGTGTGTGTGTGTGTGTGTGTGTGTGTGTGTGTGCTGTGTGTGTGTGCTGTGTGTGTGTGTGTGTTCAGATCATCCTCCACTCCATGCATAAGTACCAGCCCCGTGTGCATGTGATCCATAAGGAGCGTGGCGAGGAGCTGTCTCCTGTTAGACCCGTTCCCCAGGGAGACGGAACCAGAACACTCAGCTTCCCAGAGACCACCTTCACCACTGTCACCGCATACCAGAACCAACAGGTAACGTTCAGTCAAAATTCAGATAACATTCACACAACCATACCAGAAATAAAACGTAACCTTTACAAAACATTTACACAGCCAAACCAGAACCAATAGGTAACCTTTACACAACATTCACACAACCTCTAAAGTCTAAACAACCATACCAGAACCTTAAAGGTAAAAGTCAGCCATTTTTATCTCAATATCATACTGTGATTGTTTTCAATTAAAATTGTCAAAAAAATGAATAAATAGTGACTTAGCAAAGAGCAATTTCTCAAGCATGAATTTAGCTAGGACTGTCTGGGAGTGGTCTGAGTGGGGAGGGGCAAACGGAACATTAGCTGTTATTGGCAGAGAGGTTTGGAACTCTCTTTCTTATTGGTCTATTAACTAATTTACTGCATGGTGATGTCACCATGGCAGGCCAAAACTCACTCCTACCAAAACAGGCTGATATCTCAGGTAGCCTTTTCAAACAGCTATTACACTAAAAGGGAATTATCATCATTTTCACAATTTCACAGTATTAATCCAACCTCATAGTGTGAAAATATATATACAGAACAAAAATATGAACTCAACATTTAAAGTGTTGGTCCTATGTTTCATGAGCTGAAAAAAACATCCCAGAAATGCTCCATGCGCACAAAAAGCTTATTTCTCGCAAATTTTGTGCACAAATGTTACATCCCTGTTAATGAGCATTTCTCCTTTGCCAAGATAATCCATTCACCTGACAGGTGTGGCATATCAAGAAGCTGATTAAACAGCATGATCATTACACAGGTGCACCTTGTGCTGGGGACAACAAAAGGCCACTCTAAAATGTGCAGTTTTGTAACACAACACAATGCCACAGATGTCTCAAGATTTGAAGGAGTTTGCAATTGGCATGTTGACTGCAGGAATGTCCACCAGAGCTGTTGCCAGAGAATAGAATGTTCATTTCTCTACCATAAGCCGCACCCAACATTGTTTTAGAGAATTTGGCAGTACGTCCAACCGGCCTCACAACCACAGACCATGTGTAACCAGGCCAACCCAGGACCTCCACATCCGACTTCTTCACCTGAGACCAACCACCCGGACAGCTGATGAAACTGTGGGTTTGCACAACCGAAGAATTTCTGCACAAACTGTCAGAAACCGTCTCAGGGAAGCTCATCTGCGTGCTCGTCATCCTCAACCGGGTCTTGACCTGACTGCAATTCTGTGTTGTAACCGACTTCAGTGGGCAAATGCTCACCTTCGATGGCCGCTGGCACGCTGGAGAAGAGTGCCCTTCACGGATGAAACCCGGGTTTCAACTCTACCGGGCAGATGGCAGACCGCGTGTATGGTGTCGTGTGGGTGAGCGGTTTGCTGATGTCAGTGGGGTTATGGTATGGGCAGGCATAAGCTACGGACAGGAAACACAATTTCATTTTATCTATGGCAATTTGAATGCACAGAGATACCGTGACAAGATCATGCATTATCATGTTTCAGCATGATAATGCATGATAATGCACTGCCCCATGTCGCAAGAATCTGTACACAATTCCTGGAAGCTGAAAATGTCCCAGTTCTTCCATGGCCTGCATACTCACCAGACATGTCACCCGCTGAGCATGTTTGGGATGCTCTGGATCGACAGCGTGTTCCAGTTCCCGCAAATATCCAGCAACTTCGCACAGCCATTGAAGAGGAGTGGGACAACATTCCACAAGCCACCATCAACAGCCTGATCAACTCTGCGAATGAGATGCATCACGCTGCATTTGGCAAATAGTGGTCACACCAGATACGGACTGGTTTTCAGATCCATGCCCCTACTTAAAAAAAAAGAAGGTATCTGTGACCAACAGATGCATATCTGTATTCCCAGTAATGTGAAATCCATAGATTAGGGCCTAATTAATTAATTTCAATTGACTGATTTCCTCATATGAACAGTAACTCAGTAAAATCGTAGAAATTGTTGCATGTTTCGTTTCTCCTTTTGTTCAGTGAACATCATGTTGCATTGGGCAACATCATGTTTTTGACTGCACTGGGACTTTAAGACAACCATACACTGACATTCACACAACATTCACACAACATTCAGACAACCATACTAGAACGAACAAACAAACAACCATAACCTAACCTTCGGTCATCATACAGCTCAGAAAACACAGCAAAGGGAGTGGCAGGGGATCAGGCTTTGACTGTAGAGAGTATTAGAGAAACATACTGTTAAAAATCCCCCTTGGTGGTGAGAGAGAGAGAGAGACAGCGAGAGAGAGAGAAAGAGAGAAAGGGAGAGAGAGAGAGAGAGAGACAGAGAGAGAGAGACAGAGACAGTTAGAGAGACAGCGAGAGAGCGAGACAGAGAGAGAGAGACAGCGAGAGAGCGAGACAGAGAGAGAGAGAGAGAGAGAGAGAGAGAGAGAGAGAGAGAGAGAGAGAGAGAGAGCGAAACAGAGAGAGGGAGACACAGCACGCACTCACACACAAAAACACACACAGCACCCTTTGGCAATGTAAACATATTTTTCCCATGCCAATAAATCCCCTTTGAATTGAATTCAGAGAGAGAGAGAGAGAGAGAGAGAGAGAGAGAGAGAGAGAGAGAAGGGAAGAGAGAGAGAGAGAGAGAGAGAGAGAGAGAGAGAGAGAGAGAAAAGGGAAGAGAGAGAGAGAGAGAGAGAGAGAGAGAGAGAAGGGAAGAGAGAGAGAGAGAGAGAGAGAGAGAGAGAGAGAGAAGGGAAGAGAGAGTTGTAAGGTTCTAAGGGGCAGTGTGGAACAAGGCTGATGGAGAAAACACAGTGGACATTTTGTCCACCAGATGCTGGACCAGGAAGTCAACCTGACCAGAACTAAACCACCACCGCATTCTGACCAATCACAGCATTGGATTCTAGCCAAACAGTTGAGCAGCAGTCTTTCAGATCAGTGAGATGAAGAAGTTGAAGAGAGGATAATTGAGAAAGACTCTGGTCTCTACTGGTCTCTATCGGTCTCTACTGGTCTCTACCAGTCTCTACTGGTCTCTAATGGTCTCTACCGGTCTCTACTGGTCTCTACCGGTCTCTACTGGTCTCTACTGGTCTCTACCGGTCTCTACTGGTCTCTACCGGTCTCTACTGGTCTCTACTGGTCTCTACTGGTCTATACTGGTCTCTAATGGTCTCTACCGGTCTCTACTGGTCTCTACCGGTCTCTACTGGTCTCTACTGGTCTCTACTGGTCTCTACTGGTCTCCACTGGTCTCTGCTGGTCACTACTGGTCTCTACTGGTCTCTAATGGTCTCTACTGGTCTCTAATGGTCTCTACTGGTCTCTACTGGTCTCAACTGGTCTCTACCGGTCTCTACCGGTCTCTACCGGTCTCTACTGGTCTCTTCTGGTCTCTACCTGTATCAACCGGTCTCTAATGGTCTCTACTGGTCTCTACTGGTCTCTTCCGGTCTCTAATAGTCTCTACTGGTCTCTACTGGTCTCTACTGGTCTCAACTGGTCTCTACCGGTCTCTACCGGTCTCTACTGGTCTCTTCTGGTCTCTACCTGTATCTACTGGTCTCTACTGGTCTCTATCGGTCTCTAATGGTCTCTACTGGTCTCTACTGGTCTCTACTGGTCTCTACCGGTCTCTACCGGTCTCTACTGGTCTCTTCTGGTCTCTACCTGTATCTACTGGTCTCTACTGGTCTCTACCGGTCTCTACCGGTCTCTACTGGTCTCTTCTGGTCTCTACCTGTATCAACCGGTCTCTAATGGTCTCTACTGGTCTCTACTGGTCTCTTCCGGTCTCTAATGGTCTCTTCTGGTCTCTACTGGTCTTTACTGGTCTCTTCTGGTCTCTACTTATCTATTCTGGTCTATAATGGTCTCTACTGGTCTCTAATTGTCTCTTCTGGTCTCTACCTGTATCTACTGGTCTCTACTGGTCTCTACTGGTCTCTACTGGTCTCTACTGGTCTCTACTGGTCTCTTCTGGTCTCTACTGGTCTCTACTGGTCTCTACTGGTCTCTACTGGTCTCTACTGGTCTCTAATGGTCTCTAATGGTCTCTACTTGTCTCTACTTGTCTCTACTGGTCTCTACTGGTCTCTACTGGTCTCTAATGGTCTCTAATGGTCTCTACTGGTCTCTAATGGTCTCTACTTGTCTCTTCTGGTCTCTACTGGTCTCTACTGGTCTCTACTTGTCTCTTCTGGTCTCTACTGGTCTCTACTGGTCTCTACTGGTCTCTACTGGTCTCTAATGGTCTCTACTTGTCTCTTCTGGTCTCTACTGGTCTCTACTGGTCTCTACTGGTCTCTACTGGTCTCTACTTGTCTCTTCTGGTCTCTACTGGTCTCTACTTGTCTCTACTTGTCTCTTCTGGTCTCTACCTGTATCTACTGGTCTCTACTGGTCTCGTCTGGTCTCTACTGGTCTCTACTGGTCTCTACTGGTCTCTACTGGTCTCTACTGGTCTCTACTTGTCTCTTCTGGTCTCTACTGGTCTATAATGGTCTCTTCTGTCTCTACTGGCCTCTACTGGTCTCTACTGGTCTCTACTGGTCTATAATGTTCTATAATGGTCTCTTCTGGTCTCTACTGGTCTCTACTGGTCTCTACTGGTCTCTACTGGTCTCTACTGGTCTCTACTGGTCTCTACTGGTCTCTACTTGTCTCTTCTGGTCTCTACTGGTCTATAATGGTCTCTTCTGTCTCTACTGGCCTCTACTGGTCTCTACTGGTCTCTACTGGTCTATAATGTTCTATAATGGTCTCTTCTGGTCTCTTCTGGTCTCTACTGGTCTCTACTGGTCTATAATGGTCTCTACTGGTCTCTACTGGTCTCTACTGGTCTCTACTGGTATCTACCGGTCTATAATGGTGTCTAATGTCTCTAATGTCTCTACTGGTCTCTACTGGTCTACAATGGTCTCTAATGGTCTCTTCTGGACTCTTCTGGACTCTACTGGTCTCTACTTATATATTCTGGTCTCTACTGGTCTCTACTGGTCTCTTCTGGACTCTACTGGTCTCTACTGGTGTCTAATGGTATTTACCGGTCTCTACAGGTCTCTAATGGTCTCTACTGGTCTCTTATGGTATCTTATGGTCTCTATTGGTCTCTATTGGTCTCTACTGGTCTCATTTGGTCTCTACTGGATCTACTGGTATCTAATGGTCTCTTCTGGACTCTTCTGGACTCTACTGGTCTCTACTTATATATTCTGGTCTCTACTGGTCTCTACTGGTCTCTTCTGGTCTCTTCTGGTCTCTACTGTTCTCTAATGGTCTTTACCGGTCTCTACAGGTCTCTACTGGTCTCTACTGGTTTCTTGTGGTGTATTGTGGTCTCTACTGGTCTATTCTGGTCTCTACTGGATCTACTGGTCTTTACTGGTCTCTACTGATCTCTACTGGTCTCTTCTGGTCTCTACTGGTCTCCACATTTTGCCATGAATTTTGTTCTGGAGTCAGCTCTGCAAAGTGGGTACTAGCTGCCATAACCACAAAGTCATAAAATCAGATTTTAAACCCAACCCTAACCTTAACCCTAACCTGCTAAATCTAATGCCTAATCCTTACCTTAAATTAAGACCAAAAAGCCTCCACATACAATTTAATAATATCATCAAAGCTAAAACAACAAAGCTCTGAAGCTTATTTCCATATATCCTGGACAATGGCAGTGTGACACACAATAGATACCAAAAGGCAGACAATATGCAATCCTGGGCAATTCTTTCTCACCCCGTACTGTAGTCTTATGGCGCACTAACTACTTACTGACCACACACATACTCTCTGTGGTCACTAAAAATCCCATGGCACTTATTGTAAGAGTAGGGGGTGTTAACCCCGGTGTCCTGGCTAAATTCCCAATCTGGCCCTCATACCATCATGGCCACTTAATCAGCCCCAGCTTCCAATTGGCTCATTCAGCCCCCCCTATTAGCATAATAAATCTGACATTATGCTAATATGGTTGTGTTGCTTGTATGGTAATTACGGCATTATGCTAATATGGTTGTGTTGCTTGTATGGTAATGACGACATTATGCTAATATGGTTGTGTTGCTTGTATGGTAATTACGACATTATGCTAATATGGTTGTGTTGCTTGTATGGTAATTACGACATTATGCTAATATGGTTGTGTTGCTTGTATGGTAATTATGACATTATGCTAATAGGTTGTGTTGCTTGTATGGTAATTATGACATTATGCTAACATGGGTGTTGATGGTCTGATGTTGTTGTTGTTGTTGTTGTTGTTGTTGTTGTTGTGTTCAGATCACCAGGCTGAAGATCGACAGGAACCCATTTGCTAAAGGCTTCAGAGACTCAGGCAGAAACCGGTGAGTTCCTCTACATATTACTGGGTAGTACAGAGCCTGGGATGTATATATATTATATATATTATATATTATGGACAATTATTGATGAAGATGAGCAAAATAAGTGTCTAAAATAAATACCACAAATACTATATTATATATATTTATATATATACTGTATATATACAGTGGGGAGAACAAGTATTTGATACACAGCCGATTTTGCAGGTTTTCCTACTTACAAAGCATGTAGAGGTCTGTCATTTTTATCATAGGTACATTTCAACTGTGAGAGACGGAATCCAGAAAATCTAAAATCCAGAAAATCACATTGTATGATTTTTAAGTAATTAATTTGCATTTTATTGCATGACATAAGTATTTGATACATCAGAAAAGCAGAACTTAATGTTTGGTACAGAAACCTTTGTTTGCAATTACAGAGATCATACGTTTCCTGTAGGTCTTGACCAGGTGTGCACACACTGCAGCAGGGATTTTGGCCCACTCCTCTATACAGACCTTCTCCAGATCCTTCTGGTTTCGGGGCTGTCGCTGGGCAATACGGACTTTCAGCTCCCTCCAAATACTTTCTATTGGGTTCAGGTCTGGAGACTGGCTAGGCCACTCCAGGACCTTGAGATGCTTCTTACGGAGCCACTCCTTAGTTGCCCCGGCTGTGTGTTTCGGGTCGTTGTCATGCTGGAAGACCCAGCCACGACCCATCTTCAATGCTCTTACTGAGGGAAGGAGGTTGTTGGCCAAGATCTCGCGATACATGGCCCCATCCATCCTCCCCTCAATACGGTGCAGTCGTCCTGTCCCCTTTGCAGAAAAGCATCCCCAAAGAATGATGTTTCCACCTCCATGCTTCACAGTTGGGATAGTGTTCTTGGGGTTGTACTCATCCTTCTTCTTCCTCCAAACACGGCGAGTGGAGTTTAGACCAAAAAGCTCTATTTTTGTCTCATCAGACCACATTACCTTCTCCCATTCCTCCTCTGGCTCATCCAGATGGTCATTGGCAAACTTCAGACGGGCCTGGACATGTGCTGGCTTGAGCAGGGAGACCTTGCGTGCCCTGCAGGATTTTAATCCATGACGGCGTAGTGTGTTACTAATGGTTTTCTTTGAGACTGTGGTCCCAGCTCTCTTCAGGTCATTTACCAGGTCCTGCCGTGTAGTTCTGGGCTGATCCCTCACCTTACTCATGATCATTGATGCCCCACGAGGTGAGATCTTGCATGGAGCCCCAGACCGAGGGTGATTGACCGTCATCTTGAACTTCTTCCATTTTCTAATAATTGCGCCAACAGTTGTTGCCTTCTCACCAAGCTGCTTGCCTATTGTCCTGTAGCCCATCCCAGCCTTGTGCAGGTCTACAATTTTATTCCTGATGTCCTTACACAGCTCGCTGGTCTTGGCCATTGTGGAGAGGTTGGAGTCTGTTTGATTGAGTGTGTGGACAGATGTCTTTAATACAGGTAACGAGTTCAAACAGGTGAAGTTAATACAGGTAATGAGTGGAGAACAGGAGGGCTTCTTAAAGAAAAACTAACAGGTCTGTGAGAGCCGGAATTCTTACTGGTTGGTAGGTGATCAAATACTTATGTCATGCAATAAAATGCAAATGAATTACTTAAAAATCATACAATGTGATTTTCTGGATTTTTGTTTTAGATTATGTCTCTCACAGTTGAAGTGTACCTATGATACAAATTACAGACCTCTACATGCTTTGTAAGTAGGAAAACCTGCAAAATCGGCAGTGTATCAAATACTTGTTCTCCCCACTGTATATATATATATATATATATATATATATATTTTTTTTTTTTTTTTTTTTTTTCAATTACACTACCGGTAAAAAGTTTCACAATACCTACTCTTTCAAGGTTTTTTATTTATTTTAAACTATTTATTTAATTTGTAATAATAGTGAAGACATCAAAACTATGAAATAACACATATGGAATCATGTAGTAACCAAAAAAGTGTTAAACAAATCAAAATATATTTTATATTTGAGATTCTTCAAATAGCCACCCTTTGCCTTGATGACACCCTTTCCTGTTTCCAGGCGGCAGGTAGCTTAGTGGTTAAGAGCGTTGTGCCAGTAACCGAAAGGTTGCTGCTTCTAATCCCCGAGCTGACTAGGTGAAAAATCTGTCGATGTGCCCTTGAGCAAGGCACTTAACCCTAATTGCTCCTGTAAGTCGCTCTGGATAAGAGCGTCTGCTAAATGACTAAAATGTAAAAATGACAGCATTGCACACTCTCGGCATTCTCTCAACTAGCTTCATGAGGTAGTCACCTGGAATGCATTTCAATTAACAGGTGTGCCTTCTTAAATGTCAGTTCGTCAAATTTGTCAGGAGAACGCTACCTGCCCGAAGTTTGGTGGAGGAAGAATAATGGTCTGGGGCTGTTTTTCATGGTTCGGGCCCCTTAGTTCCAGGGAAGGGAAATCTTAATGCTACAGCATACAATGACATTCTAGATGATTGTGTGCTTCCAACTTTGTGGTAACAGTTTGGGCAAGGCCCTTTCCTGTTTCAGCATGACAATGCCCCTGTGCACAAAGCGAGGTCCATACAGAAATGGTTTGTCGAGATCGGTGTGGAAGAACTTTACTTGCCTGCACAGAGCCCTGACCTCAATCCCATCGAACACCATTGGGATGAATTGGAACACCAACTGCAAGCCAACATCAGTGCCCAACCTCATTAATGCTCTTGTGGCTGAATGGAAGCAAGTCCCCGCAGCAATGTTCCAACATCTAGTGGTAAGCCTTCCCAGAACAGTGGAGGCTGTTATAGCAACAAAGGGGGGACCAACTCCATATTAATGCCCATGATTTTAGAATGATAATTTCAATAATGTCCACATACTTTTGGTCATGTAGTGTATATTATAAACATACAAGTGTGTGTGTATATATATACGCTACCAGTCAAAAGTTGGGACACACCTACTCATTCCAGGGGTTTTCTTTATTTGTACTATTTTCTACATTGTAGAATAATAGTGAAGACATCAAAACTATGAAATAACACATATGGAATCATGTAGTAACCAAAAAAGTGTTCAGCACATTCTTCAAATAGTCACCCTTTGCCTTGATGACAGCTTTGCACACTCTTGGCATTCTCTCAACCAGCTTCATGAGGTAGTCACCTGGAATGAATTTCAATTAACAGGTGTGCCTTCTTAAAAGTTAATTTGTGGGATTTATTTTCATCTTAATGCGTTTGAGCCAATCAGTTGTGTTGTGACAAGGTAGGTGGGGTATACAGAAGATAGCCCTATTTGGTAAAAGACCAAGTCCATATTATGGCAAGAACAGCTCAAATAAGCAAAGCGAAACGACAGTCCATCATTACTTTAAGACATGAAGGTCAGTCAATACGGAAAATGGAAAGAACTTTGAGAGTTTCTTCAAGTGCATTCGCAAAAACCATCAAGCGCTATGATAAAACTGGCTCTCATGAGGACCGCCACAGGAATGGAAGACCCAGAGTTACCTCTGCTGCAGAGGATACGTTCATTAGAGTTGCCAGCCTCAGAAATTGCAGCCCAAATAAATGCTTCACAGAGTTCATGTCACAGACACATCTCAACATCAACTGTTCAGAGGAGACTGTGTGAATCAGGCCTTCATGGCTGAATTTCTGCAAAGAAATCACTACTAAAGGACACCAATAAGAAGAAGAGACCTGCTTGGGCCAAGAAACACGAGCAATGGACATTAGACCGGTGGAAATCTGTCCTTTGGGCTGATGAGTAAAAATTTGACATTTTTGGTTCCAACCGCTGTGTCTTTCTGAGACGCAGTGTGGATGAACGGATTATCTCTGCATGTGTATTTCCCACCGTAAAGCATGGAGGAGGAGGTGTTATGGTGTGGGGGTGCTTTGCTGGTGACACTGTCTGTGATTTATTTAGAATTCAAGGCACACTTAACCAGCATGGCTACCACAGTATTCTGCAGCGATACGCCATCCCATCTGGTTTGGGCTTAGTGGGACTATCATTTGTTTTTCAACAGGACAATGACCCAACACACCACCAGGTGTGTGTATAATATACAATATATAACTGTGTGTGTATAATATACAGTATTTTACTGTGTGTATAATATACAATATATAACTGTGTGTATAATATACAATATATAACTGTGTGTATAATATACAGTATATAACTGTGTGTGTATAATATGCAGTATTTTACTGTGTGTATAATATACAATATATAACTGTGTGTATAATATACAGTATATAACTGTGTGTGTATAATATACAGTATTTTACTGTGTGTATAATATACAATATATAACTGTGTGTATAATATACAGTATATAACTGTGTGTATAATATACAATATATAACTGTGTGTATAATATACAGTATAACTGTGTGTTCCAGGATGGGTCTGGAGGCTCTAGTAGAATCATATGCGTTCTGGCGTCCGTCTCTCAGATCCCTGACATTTGAAGACATCTCTGGAATTAAGCAAGGTGAGACAGAGTTTCTTCAAATTTATGAAATCTCTCTTCAAACAAGAATCCTCAACCCAAACTTAAAAAACAACAACTAAAAACATACTGTTGTGCTGGTCTTACTGTTGTACTGGTCATACTGTTGTACTGGTCTCACTGTAGTACTGGTCTCACTGTAGTACTGGTCATAATGTTGTCTTACTGTTGTACTGGTCATACTGTTGTACTGGTCTCACTGTAGTACTGGTCATAATGTTGTCTTACTGTTGTACTGGTCTCACTGTTGTACTGGTCATAATGTTGTCTTACTGTTGTACTGGTCTCACTGTTGTACTGGTCATAATGTTGTCTTACTGTTGTACTGGTCTCACTGTTGTACTGGTCATAATGTTGTCTCACTGTTGTACTGGTCTTATTGTTGTACTGGTCTTATTGATGCACTTGTATCACTGTTGTACTGGTATCACTGTTGTACTGGTCTCACTGTTGTACTGGTCATAATGTTGTCTCACTGTTGTACTGGT